ATTCTCTAGATTATACTAATCACAGATGATGTTTCTCAAGGAAAAAACTTATATAAACATAAAGGACTAATAAAAGAATATACAGACATTTTCCGTGTCAACAGTTGTCGAGCAAGTGCTTCCAAAAAGCCTGGTCCATGAACTTCACGCAGCCATCCAGCGAAAAGAGAAACCCGGTTCTGAAAACAAGCGACATCAACAAAAGAACCACATATAACTTGCAATCACACAACAAATTTAGAACCCATGAATAACAGAGACTAAAACTAAAAGTTAACAAGGATTTAGCATACCTCAATGGCCCGGACAACATTAATGTGCCCCTTTTCTCTAGCCAAATCAAGTGCAGTATGACAATCATCATTCATAATGAATGGATTTGCTGTGATATTTACGAAGCACACAAGAACCATCAACAATAGAAAATGCAAGAGGAAAAAGAATATTTTGAACAGTAGCTGACATAGATGTACCTCCATTGGAAATAAGGAGATGAACAGTTTGCTCAAGGCCCTTCTTTGCAGCATGGTGCAAGGGAGTTCCTGCATGACACCCTACAGTGGAAAAATAAAGGAATTTAAAGCTTCACATACTTTTCCATGTTCAATAATTTAATAGAGAACACACAAAAAAAGATGAAGGTACATATACCTGCTCCAAAAAATTAAAAAAAAGAAAATTATAATACACCAAATGAGACATATGCTATAAGCAGATTTTATGTCATAATTCATTTGATTACAAACCCAGTTCTTCAATAAAGCATGCAGATTTTATTTGTGTAACAAATGCCTTGAAAAATAAAAGCCACTTGTGTAGAAATAAACAAGAATGAAAATGGTACAAAACCACAATGCCTTGCAATCAGTGTCGAGGGAGAGATTTGAAGAGAAGCAAAGAGATGAGAGAAAGTTATGTTGTTTATTTGGTTACAAATTTAGGACACAAAAGGAGAGAAGTAGATTGAATCACACTCGGGCATTATGAGCATACACACACAACGACCTAAGGCACGCACCGACACAAATCACTGTTTTCTAACCACAAAAAATGGAAAATTAGGGGTAGAAGAAAATTTTAATTGATCCTTCATTCCTTTCCTCTTCATCCTAAAAGGACAAGGCAAAAACAGTCTTCTCTTTTCTTTTCTTCTCTTTCTTTTCGATTATGAATTTCTGTATAGATTGTCAAAGAATGAGCTAAAAGCCTCTCAAAACATCTGCTAGGTTAATTCATCTCATCAACTTACTCAAGAAGTATCAACACATCATTAATTATAAGTAAATATTGCAGTTTGCGTACCTGATTAAGTTAACAACAATACTCATAAATAACCCAAAAAAAAAAAAAAAACAGAATCATCATTCAACTCTATGGATCTTGCCATCTTACACGGAGGGACAAAAACCAAGGTGACATAGCTTCCATCGGCATCAATTAGTTCGGCTATAAGAACCTGTTAAAATAACCCTAGCTCATACTCCAAGTTGTATTAATTACGGAACCTAGTATTAATTTCGTGGCAGATTTATTTCGACATGATGCATTTTTTCTTATTTGAGGTGAACCAGATGTGACACAAAATCCTGAATATGGCACCAGAATAAACTTCTCACCAGGCCTGTATACATTGACATTGGCACCCATTTCAATCAGCGCCTTCGCGACAGGCAAGAGATCATGCCTCAAGCACGCAACGATCAAGGGGGTTTTCCCTTCTTTATCCATCCACTGCAAACAAACACCAAGAAGCCAATCCAAGAAAACATAACTTCCAAAATTCTTTCGCAGCATTCGCTTACAGTTCGACGCAATTGGAATTCCAACATATCGTAATTGACCGAACACATTCGACGTGTATAATTGTGTGACTTACTTCAAGTCCGGCGCCTTGGCTGCGAAGGGCTCTAATCCCCTCGATGTTGCCATAGTTGACCTGCTGATAGAGCAATTCCTCCTTGGATTGCTGCGCTCCCATCGAGAAGACCTTCCTCCAGAAATCAAAACCCTAAGTTAACAACATAAATCGAACGAAGAGATTGAGCCTCTCCAAAAAGGGTTCTCAGAACAACAGGAAAGCCAATCCGCCACCAGAAAAAGGGATCTCCTTTCCCCAAAAAAGATCGATGAAACGCCGAAAGATGCGACCTTTAATGGAGAATGAGAGGAATCGATGAAGGAAATCAGGAACGAAGGAGCGAAGACGCTCAGGAAGAACTCGGGCTTGAAGGCACAAATTTTGTTCTAGAAGATTATTTGCTTTTGGGTATTAAATAAACATACGAATGTAAATAATTATCTATATAGATAATTAAATTATACTGCAAATGAAAATTAGCAAAAAAATATCAATTAGGAACACTGCAAGTTTTTTGATATCAAGCAGAAGAATGTATCACATTATTTTCCATTGCATGGAGATTATATTCGGAATGATTTATATAGTTGATTTTGTTTTGGAATAATGTCTTATAAATTTCTTGTATATGTAAAATGAATTAAATGTGTTAGAGATTGATATCACTACCATTCTAAGATTAAATCATCTCAACTCAATAATAACATGTGATTTTTATTTAATTTATTTTATTTTTTCATCTATCACACCACTAGATAGATAAATTGTTTTGAGTAAATTATCTCAACTCAATAATAACATGTGATTCCTATTTAATTTAATTTATTTTTTCATGTATCACATCGCAAGATAGATAAATTATTTTAATAAAAAACTTTTATTTTTGAAAAATTCTTATAACCTTCTTTTTAAAGATTCTCATGTAACATCGTTCTTTCGTAAAAAAAATGATTTTCCCTTTACTTCCGTCACATCGATCGTTATCTTTGTCTTTAGTGACCTCAATGAGAGCGGCTCTCCCACCTTCCGCTCACCACCGTCATCTATTGTCGTTGATGGCGACCCGTGCTCTCTTGCCCTCACTATCATCGCTTATGATTATCTATGTTGCTGTCGTAACCCTTCCCGGCCCCCTCCACAATGTTGATCATGGGGGTGTGAGAGTTGTGATCGCTTTTACCCTTGGCTGCCTTTGTTGTCACCTTGGCGAAGGGGGCTGAGAGTGAGAGGGGGGGGGGGGTGGCGTGTGAGGGTTACGTGTATGGAAGGAGGACACACGAGGGTCACTACTGTCTTCACCCTTAGATGTCTTTGTCGTCATCTTGGCGAAGGGGGTTGTGGGTGAAGGCGAAGGCATACAAGCCACTCCTTTGCCGGTCGTCACCTTGACAAAGGGAGCTAGTGTAGGTTGAAAGTGACGGCTACGAGTCGAAGGTAGAGACAGTATCATCGTCTTAAAGAAAAGCTCTATAGGAATTTTGTTTAAAATAAGATGTTACTTAAAAATTATAAAAAATAAGAGTCTTTTTTAAAACTTTGCGCTTACGAATAGCTTCAAAAAAAAAACTTAAAATTTGATCGTATTAGTTTAAAAAATAGAAAGAAATTTTCATCACATTAAATCACATACAAAACACTCATATATGCACTCGGACCCTAATGTATTAACTATTAGGATATATGTTTGGACAACATATTAATGTATTAGTTATTAGGATATCTGTTGAGACAACATATTAATGTTGTTTGATTTCTACGATGCCTCCTCCATCACACAAATTGATTTGGAAGAGGACTTGTTCATGCTTGTGCCTAAAGGTCAACATTCTTGAATCCCATCTTCTAGTTATAGTTTGGAAGGTGGAAAACATGTTGTCGAGATAAGTTGTGTTAGATTTTGTTTACATCTATGAATAAACGTAGATACTCCCATTAATTATATATTAATTATAAAAAGTTTAAATCACTATCTTGAACACATGAAAGTATTACATCACTAATAACTTAACCAAGTAGACCAAAGCATCATATACCTTGATCTATGATTTGTCTTACCGATTAATTATCGATACGATATTATGTATCAAACCATATTAACGTATCGATATGATACGATGGGATATATTTATAAATCAGTATGTTGCATTCGTATCGATCCCTTGTGGGATCAATATGTATCAACCATATCGAATAGTATATCATAGTACTGATCTTTTTCAAATTTTATGTTAATCTATATCAACCAAAGTTAGAACGACGTACCTATTAACATGCTTTTCACTATATACCAATAAAAAAATATATATTTATAATTAAACATAGAATATAAAAGTGAAAATGTTAAGAAAACAAGATTGATTGGAATTATTATAACATAAATACAAAATTAAAACTAAGAATCTTATATGTAGTTTCTCGACGTAAAATTCTCAATGCACAGAGATACCGACTTAGCATTTGAATAAAAAAGAATAACTTAATCAATATGTATTATATTTTAAGCCAATATTGTTATATAATGTGTATTATCATATCGAATATGATTAGCATTTTAGACAAATAATTTCCTTTTTTGCCATTTATTTTTTGGTATCTATGCGATTATATTTACGTATTCAGTACATACAAAATTGATGCTCAAGGTTGAATTGCTTCGATACTAATATAATTAAATTATATTAATAAACCTAATTCATTTTTTCCTATTGTACTTCACTACATTCTATATCTACATTAGTAGTTTAGTAAAACAAATATGAGAGTTTTATATCAAAAAAATATATTTTTTATTTGTTTTAGTTTTACTAATATTATTTATTTATTTTAAAACTATTTAACAAAAGTATTTCACCACTTACAATTTTGGAATACATGATTAAAAACTCATGAGGACTTCAAATATTCGATATAATATACCTTTATGTAAGATTAATAGTAGGAAAGAGGAGATAATTCAATAACCCATTGGATTCTAAAAGTAAAGCCATGTGTTCTAAATGTATTTTTAATATTTAGTTAATATTTCTTAGACTGTGATCTTTGTGAATGAAGGTTAAGAGTTGTATTGCTATCTTATACAAATGATTAGTGCTACAAATAGGTTGTTTGTCAAGCATTATCCAAGACATAATAGATAGAAATAAGATCGAATTGTATGAAATATATTGCTTGATTCTTTGAATCAAGTAAACAGTATACAAATCTTGAAATGTCTCCATGGATACATATCATTAGTAATGTCTTCAAATGACTCATAAAACTCCCTCCTATAGCTTAGCAATCCGAAAGCCACATGTCGATGTCTTGTGCTATTTTTTGTCTCACTTCACTTACTGCTTGACGACACACATCACCTAAACGAATGTAGTGCATATGAGAGCATGTAATTTGGCTATACATATCGATAAGATACAAAAATTGAAATTTGCCACATTGATATTATAATTTTTTCCATATTGCGAAGAATAATTATAATCATTTTTGTGAATACCAATCAAATATAAATATTATCGAGAAGTCATGTATTGATGATTTAGTTGGTTTCAACATATGATGGATCAAACGAGAGGAAATTAGCTATACCTTTAGTATCCTCGGGTGCATAAGGACATCCCAAAACATCGATACCGTGTGCACATCCATTGCACTCGACCATGTAGGAAGGCACTACAAAAGATTAACGAGCTATTTATAATTAGCATGAAGAATAGTAAAATGTAATACGTATGACTATCGGAGTTATACAAATCGATAATTCATTCGTATAACAAAGTTATAGATATTATTAGTATCTGAATAATCAAATTCATTCTAGAACTATAAATATCTATGGAAATGAATCTGAACTAGAGATAATGAATGCTTGGTAGCCACTCTTACAGTCTTTGGATGATGTTTGCTTAGATATATGGCGGCATGGATCTTGGGAGCCATTGGTGAAGATTACTCTTGAACCTAGATATTTCAAAATTAAATATGAATAAAATCAATCACATATCAATTTTCTTGTTTACGAATCTAAACATGTTCTTTAGTTTAGATATAACTCATATATATATATATATACATACACACACATACACAAAACAAAGTGAGCATACCTGCAAATTTTCTTCCTCCATAATAAGTGTTGGCCATGTCTGAATCAGGATAAACCCCTTCCCCAAATATGTCTTTGCAGAAGTCTAAATTGTATCTATAGTAATCAAAAGAATATTTTAAGAACTAACAAAATCTAATCATAAATAGATACATATTCTACCTATGTCATATCTAACATTTATAATCTATTAAATATTTTCAGTTCAAATTGACAGAAACTATGCTTATATTCTTAAGAGAGATGTAATGCATTGCTTTAGGTAATGGTCCTTCTATCAAGATCAAAATTATAAGAATCATAATAGTATGTTACATTATCTACTCTCCAATTGTTTCCTGGAAAAAAATACATGAATGGCCAATTCAAATAGTAATATTAATGCCCCCACAAGTTGTCATAGATCCTTAGTTCCTCTAAAAATCTAGTTGAGCATTTAACTTAATTATCTTCATAAGCATTAATTCATAATTTTTGTTATTTTTTGTATTATTTCTAGAATTTTATGTTTAGCTCAAAGTACCTTTTCTAACTTTTCATTTTCTAAATTTGGTCAACTAAGCATATCCTCATCCTAAATAAGTCCCCAAATTGTTTTTTTTTTTTGAACTTTTATAACATTTTTATGTTACTATGCTAGTGCATAATTCCACTTCTATACCTCAAAAAATTATGAGTACATGTCTTAGCTATTCAAAGTAACTTTCGCATCAAATTACTCAATATCGGTAAAGTTCTTCTGCTCTTCTAGCTTGCTATACAATCCGGAATAACCGCGAGACCAAATCGATCCAAAGTCCTTTATATCGCACACATTATATCTTATTAACAATTACCATTGGCAATTTTGTAGTGATAATTTACTTTCCTTCGTATGAACCGATGTGAACAACACTAGGATAATATAGATTGGTAGAAGCTTAATATTTTCATATGTTATTCTTAGACAAAGTTCTTCAAAGTTGTGTTCTTCATGGAATGAGATTAGTTTGCCTTCAAAGTGTGTTTGATTGATTAGTTTATATTTGTGAAAGTAAATTATTCTAGCATAGGATGAAATGAGAATTTTCGAATATCGCGACTAAATTGTTGGATGAAATAGTACCTTTCATCAAGCTTTGTTGAACGAATAGAATCATTCTGTGGTGCCACCAAGAAATATCCCATCTCAGAACATATGTAGAACCACCATAATCGATAAGCTTTTAGAAGGAGAAAAGAAAAATGCTATCAATGCTTGGAATATGAAAGCACAACTTCAAACCTTATACGAGGTTAAAAGATCAAAGAAAACAGTACCACTATTTCCACTAGTTGGATCCTTCAAATATAAACGATCATAATATTCAAGTGTGACACCAAATATTCCTTGGTTAGCTACATTCTTGACATAGTCTGCATATGCTTCCTGCAATCACCAAATTTAGATTGTCATATTCTTCATTCGCGATCGATTATTATATTATCAAAACATGCCATAGAAGAACTGCATAAATGAAATCCAACTATGCCCCAATGATCCATCAAATGCATAAGAGGAATAGAGGAGAGCATACCAATATATCGGAGCCATTCTTTTTGGCATTAACAAGAAGATCACATACAAAGTCATGAAAGCCGTATTGTAGCTGAAAAGTTCGAGAAGAATTAGAAATAAAATTCTGAAAAGAACTCGATTGTATTCAAATGATTTGCTTACCGACAGGGCTGCAGCATCGGCAACTAGGAATCGAAAGTCATCGTCGTTGTCGATCTATATCGGATAAATAATTTCAAATGACTAAGATAGTCTTCGTATCGGCATAATATATTCATGATAATAGTTATTTGGAAACATGAAAAGTAGAAAAAGATGAGGTTCCCTACTCAAAATAAAAAACATAAATATTAATTATGTAATTTTTACTTAACTATGCAATGCCTCACTGATTATGAGGAACTGATCATTCAATAACTTTTAATTGAATGATGATCTAGAGATGTTTGATTTAACAAAACAAAAAAGGGGCCAAATACAAGTATAAAATGTATATACCATTATTATAATAATCTTTCATCAGTTTTGAGCAAAAATGCAGAAGAAAGATACCAATGAAGTGTTACCTTAGATGCACCAAACAATTCTTTGATTGATTGCCTATCAGAGTTAAGCTGTTCATCAACAAGATGAGTGATTTCTTGAAGCACAGTCTTGCATTCAGGTCCAGCTGTAGTTCCAATCTGCAAAAAAGACGACAATGAAGAGAAGATATGAGCAGCCAAAATGGGACCATCTAAGACTCTCCACCCCAATGAATACTAAGTATTCATTTTCTTCAGTATGGAACTACTTAATGGTCAGGTTAGCTTAGCAATTTGTTTCTTTGGTCCAGCTAAGATAAAGCTACTTAATGTTTTGATTGGTGAAACCATTCAATTTATTCTCTCCCAAAATAATGCCATCCTTGCAAATACTCTCTCTCTCTCTCTCCATATTTTCACCATTAGTGAAGTATAAAACTCATGAATTTTTTATATGATAGGTTTCTATGGAGCATTTCATTATATATGGCAACATAAAACATGATATCCAACATTGCAAAAGGTAGCAAATGCTTATGCACCTGTTGGTCATATTCTGTGAAATTGTAGATTGCTATAAGAGCAGCTGAGCTTGCATAAGCCCCACAAGTTAGATGAGGGAACTTCAAGCGAAAATAAGCTGCAAGTCCTCCAGAATATGAACCTCCAATTACGAACCATCTATTTTCGGTTTCCGAAACATTATATTTTGCATTCAACAATTCCTGTAGAAAAGAAGAGTTAGCTATATGGAATAGTTATAGAGATTTATAGATCAATAGGAAGTGAAAGTGGGGATAACAAAACTTTAAATGAAAGAATTTATTAATTGACCAACTTATCATTTGTCCTCAAACTATAATATTCTATTAATCCATTTTATATCATCAGAAGATGATCTCAGCCATTAAAGAAAGCCTTACAAAGCAAATGCTAGGGATTGTGATTCTTGGTGCAATAAGCATCTTGACTAAATTGGTTGTCTAGTTAATTACATGAATGATCTTATGCTTACATCGAGAAAGACATAATTTTCTCCCTGAACTCATCATTGTTAAATACAAATTGATACAAAAGATCGGTAAAGTCATATCTCTAACACTAAAAATATCGTAAAAAGGACACATAAGAGTATTCGATGAATGAGATTTATTTTTTTTGTTGGTCTAACAAATTAAATCCATGTTGTATTTTGAACTCTTGAAAGAACTTCATAATATGTGATTGAACAATCCAATTAAAGCTTACATTTAGTCATGATTATAAAGGAAAATGATTTAGTACATTTACTGTTTATATACAATCATGTGAGTTAAGATTTTTTCTTGACTCAATAAGGCTCACATCCTCTATTATATGTCTTGGTTTGAAATAAGGTCAGATTGAGCTTATGCCTAACACACATTGTTTTGCATCGCATAGTCGACACTTAAAAACACTTCATCAATTAAATTTAAACCATGAAACTTATGATTCAACACATACACAACATAATATCCGAGATAATCGAAAGCGTAGTAAATGAGCCATACAAATGAAACAAAAAAATATTGAGGGATCACATTAATCATGAAAGAATGTGAAATTTTTACCTGGTAATATTGGCGAAAAACAGCCAAATCAAATATAGCTTGTTTTGAGGACAAATATTTTAGATTTTCTGTTGTCAATTCCTTGTAAGGAGTACTCTTCCCATAATACCGATGCTCGATAGAAACTATGGCAGCACCAAACTTCTCCGCTAGCTCCTACATGTTGTTACAAAATTAGAGAAACAACAACGATAGTCGACGCCGAGTCATTTGATCGAAAGCATAGACCTTTACACGAGATCGGTACAAAATTTTAGCTTCTACATATCACAAATTTCATTCATGTTTTCACCTTCTATAGTTAACACTATTGCAAAGATCAAACTTTTCTTTCATACTACACTCTTCATTCTTTCAGTTTAGACACTAACATACAATAGTTATTTAGACAATCTAATGGCAAACACACAATAACAAGATCATAAGTTCCAATTATATCATGATTACTCATACTAGATTTTCAAGAAACCAAATATTTGTTCCAAAATGCAAAAAGAATGTGGAATGTCTATCCACTTACATGAAAATACAACCGAAAAGTATAAATTATCATCACGGAAGTATTAAGAAAGTTCAAATGACTTTGCAAATACTAAAAATAATTAAAAATTGATATAACATGAATCAAATTCATCGTTTGATATATGACAACTTCGATTGTTAAGGAAATTAATTTATTATCCCACTGTAAAATTTTGAAGTAAGGTTGTGATACAATTTCTTATCATGATTGAAAGAAAGACTATACTTACAGTATAAAAACTTTTGCCAATCCCAATCTGTTCAGATTCACCACCAACAAGTAGGAAGATTGGTCCCTCTGGAGGCTTATAGTAACCAAGATATTCAAAATATCTTTGCTTGAATGTAGAATGATCCTGCATTGGAGAAATGTCCAAACACTTTTTTTAGCAAAAGCCAATCCAAAAATGCATGAATAACAAACACAGATGTTGAAGAAAAAGATCAGAAAGACATGTGAACAACAATACTTAGAATAAGCATTAAATAGAGATCTTCTTGTGAATGCTAATACTCCCTATAACAATGCTTTATGAAACCCAAGATCTTTTGTGAGATACCAAACCCAATTTGTGTGAGTCGGTCGAATGTTGTCTCCTTTAGTCTATACTTGAATCTGATTTCTACCCATGTTTAGTTCAAATTTAAGTTTTAGTCATATTTTTATTTTTAAGTTTTTCTAAACTTGTTTTCATGAATTTTAATTGAAGTTTACGCATTCTAATTCCGCTATCGGTAAATGTTTAGGCCTCTGAAGAATATAAATATACTAAATTCAAATTTCTTCTGTAAAGTAGGAAATAGCTTAGGAAAGATCAATCGATTATCGAAATTGAGTTCGAGGTGGAGAAGAAGATAAGGATAGAACATTATCTATAAATGAGGCATCAATTTCATAGAAATGTATGTTGAATGAAAATGGATGAGATTCTATTAGTTTTTATGATTCATCATTAGCCCCATTCTCCTCTCTCTCTCTCTCTCTCTCTCTCTCCTTTTGGCATTATCACTTCTCACTTCTTCTTTCTTCTCTACCTCTATTATTAGCACAATTAGCACAATTTGATCATATTCCTTCCTTTTGTTAGTGTTATCGAGTTGAAACAATCTAGGATCTATATTTGACTCTGTGAAAGACAATGTTACAACAAGAACTTTGCTATTGTTCACTTATTATGACAACAAATATCATTCACTTTGCACAATATAGTAGCCTATGATTTAAATATCCACAATAGTTTATGTAAAGATTATCCTTATCAATAGATCCATATGTTTTGGATCACACCGACATATTTGATTGACTAATACCTTGTTTCTTGTTGATTAGCAAAATAGTCATCCTCTTCGGCATACGAAAAAATTATAGGTATCTTCCGATAAGAAGGTTAAGTCGATATCTATATAGCCTTAATCTTTTGCTTTCTATTGCATATGATCAATATAATTATCGATATAACTATTTTTTTTAGCAAATACATCATGATTAAAATAATAAATTATTCCGAAGAGCTTAACTTTCATCCCAAACTTTATATAAAAAACTTCTCAAGTAATAGTGGAGAACAAAGGAAAAGCAAAAAAATATAAAAGAAGAAAAGAAAAAGGAAACGATAAAGAAACAAAGAAAGGACTTAACCGTGGGGGAGAAATGATCTAAATTCTGATCAAACCAATTCTCCTTCTCGGTGAGCATGTTGCTATCATACAATTTGCGAGAGCGAAAACCATGCGTCTCTACCATGGAGGCATTGAAAAAGAGTAGAAGAAGAAAAGAGAAGGAGAAGGCCTTGAGGTTCATCATAATTGGAGGAAGAAGAGAAGAGGAAGAAGAAAAGAGATCTTGCTCCCAAGATCTCTTTCTTCTTGGGAGGTTAATCTTTCGTTCTTAGGTGTTGCACATTTATACTGGCACCCAACGTACCAATGCGAATATGTTGCAAAGAAAAAAGGATGGTCATGAAGAGATGCCAACCCAATGGATGTTCTTGCTGGTTTGACGGGAGAGACAAACAACCAATAACTTGGAATGACCGATAAATAGGAAGGATGGCTCAAAATACACACCTAATGGCCAATAAATAGGATCCCAAGTCAATGGAAGTTCGTGGTGGCTTGATGAGGGATAAAAATGGCCAATAAATAGGAAGGATGGTTTACAACACACACCTAACGACTAATAAATAGGATACCAAACTGAATGGAAGTTCTTCATGGTTTGACAATGGAGAAGAACGACTAATTAATGTGGAGAAACTTGATAGATTTAAATATGTGTCTGATTTCTTGGAAGATCCCTTCGTTCTTCTTGCTTTCACCCTCTTTTAACTTGTAAAATTTTTTTCATTTTTTTTGCATCCACACTACTAACATCCCTAGGGACGATAGTTGGATTTCGACGTATATTCTATATGGTATCTCTTTCGCTAAGCATGTTGAGACAAGGAATCTAACAAGAAGAGACGACTTCATGTGGATAGACGATGTTCTAAAATATTTAGGTTTACCCAAAGTGTTTGCCGGGAAGCTTCGTCGGAATCATTTGTCTATTTTTTGACTATTTATCTAAATCTATTCATTCACAAGCTCAACCTTATCGTATTTGAATGTTCCTTTGCTTTAAATCACTAAAACATTTTATAGCTTAACATTAGTGTTACTTTTACATACTTTTACTATAACACCCCACCCCGATTCGTCCCATATAGAAAGTGGACAAGGCTTAGACTATTTTCAAGGATCTAATGAGTATATTATTATTAACTTACTTTTATTTATAACCCGTAGTAGGCCGATAGCTTGAAGAAGGTGCCTCCCTTAGCTTCACTAAACCAAATTTCTTATAAGTATGATTGCTAACTCTCTTTGGCTTCTTTGGTTGAAGTAAAGCCATTCTATATTTCTCAACAATCAAGCCGATGTCTAATTAGATCTAAGGGGAACAAGACTATGGTCCAATTTTGACATAAATTAGTTACAGTATAAAGTCACCATTGAGCTGAAAATGTCATGGTTTAGGTTAAACTAAATCGATGGAGTCATGGCATTTACAATTGGTTGTAGGACCAATGGCTCAAGGAAGGTGCCTCCCTTAGTTTCACTCAAACCAAATGTCTTACAAGTATGATTGCTAATTGTTTTTGGCTTCTTTGATTAATCTGAAATGATTCTAAATTTCTCAACCATCAAGCCGGTGTCATCTCCTTGTGGATTAAAGCCATTGTCTTGCAGCATTAGAATTGCAGGATGATTAAAGTCCAATCTGACACGACTAACCTCGATATTAACTCTAATCTTATAATGGAATGTGATGGATTCATTTCATGTTTTTGATGGTGTTGTAGGGGTGGGTTACTACTTAGCTAATCCGACTTGCAGCATGAGAATTGCAGGATGTTTAAAGTGACATGATTCAATCCCCATCCAAGCCGAAGCCCTTCATAATTTTGGATGCTTTGATTCGTAGCAAAAGAGAAAGCATACACAATCTTTGCATCTGACTCACAACGCATTGCTTTTGAGAGGAATCTCATTGATGTTTTGTCCTTAGCTTGTGAACTAAATGCAACTATAATTACTTTCATTCCTAAGAATTAAAAATGGCACAGCTCACTAATTTGCTGCTTAAGAATAAATATCAGTTTTTTTTTATTTTCGATAGACGAACCTTTACTTTTTGAAAATAAAAAATAAATAGGAAGGAGGGTTTAAAATACACTCCTAATAACTTAAACGAGTCTTTTGGTTTAATTTCGATAGATGATGTCGTGATTATCTTGACATTTGAATTAAATAGGTTAAATTTATAGTAATTTTAAATATGATTTTAGTCGGATTGATTTAATGAACTTAAAAAAACATCTCTATTGGCTCGATTCCATTTAAGATAATTCAGAGATGACTAGGGGGATCCATTGAGGAGCCGACCAAGGGTGCTCGAATTGATCCCTCTTACCCTTAGAGCCGAGGTGGAAAGTAGAATCATAGATAAACAATAATTGATCTTGGTATTAGTAAATAAGTAAATTTTAAGTAAACCGGGCCCAAAAGAATATTGTACAATATAGATAAAATATATATTTTTGGATTCACCATTATTCTTACACTTAGGTTGCTATCATGCTATACCATATGGTGAGCTACAATTAGGGGGTAAACTTTTCTCCTATCAGCGGCTCCATCCTTTGATTTCTTCGACACACAAAGAAAAAAAAAGAGAAATGGGGAATAATTTTTCCTTATATTTATCTGATTGCACAACATCCCGGTAATATATAAAATTGAAATCCGATACATTTGCTATTTTGGTCCCTCATATGATCAATAGCTCGACCAAATGCTTCCGATCAATCTTTTCTTCCAAAAGAAAACCTCTCGAGCTGCTGTTCTTGTCGTTCTATCTTGAATTGTCAGTTGGTCACCACCAAATCGTTTCAGTTCTTGAAAGAATTGATGTCAGATGAATTTTAGTACTCGGACTATCTGTTAGATTCGTGACAGCTCCTGCAAATCTCCAACTCCCTCGAAAACTTGCAGCCAAAAGTCCATGTCGTCACTGTCGGATGATACCAACAGGTTGGAAAGCTCACTGACCGGCGGAAGATCGACGGATGAGGCAGAGTCATCCATTGAGAATGCGTCCAACCAAAAGCTCTCGTCGATCTCCGGGAATGCGTCCGAGGAGAAGCTTCCCCTTGCATCGTCACTGATCTCTCTCGACACCGTCGGTGAATCAGTGCCACAAGACGAGAAGTCGCTATTTGATTGCGCCTTTGACACCACTGACACAAACATCGCGTTCTCTGAGTCTGTATCGAGCTGCATGGTTATGGTCTCCGAGGCTTTCTTTGACCGGGAACCACCTGCTTTCTTCTTCTTCTTGGGTTCTCTGGATGAAGTGTTGGGGCTGACAAGCTTCTTCAGGTGGGTGTGCCACACGTTCTTGATCTCGTTGTCCGTTCTGCCAGGTAGGCTGGCAGCAATGGAAGACCACCTATCGGCAAGAGGAAATATTACTCACTGCATGAGAGACTCGCCAAGAACCTCATATGCGTCGAGAGTGCAGGTGGAGACGGAGGAGCTCTACCTGTTCCCAAAGGTCTCGTGCAATCTGATGATGGTCTCCTGTTCCTCCAGGGAGAAGTTTCCTCGTTTGATGTCAGGCCGCAGGTAGTTCATCCACCGGAGCCTGCAACTCTTCCCACACCTCGAAAGCCCTGAGTAGAAATAGATTCAGGACAAGTAGGGATGGAGAGGAGTGACTTCATCTCCATTCTCCAGGGGCCAGCTTAAACCCTAATACAAGATCTCGAAGACCTTCAACACGACAATTAACCTTAAGTACTCACCGGCTTGCTTCGGCAGCGCACGCCAATTCCCGTGGCCGCATCTCTGGATGTAACCTACTAAAGCCTCGTCCTCCTCCGGACTCCATGGCCCCTTCTTCACACCAATCCCACAGCACGGAGCTCTCACCATGTTGCCAAAACACTTCCTTCCTTCCTTCCTCTCTCAGAAGGCTTTGCAGGAGACCATGCTGCTTCCCACTCCTGCTTCAGTTATTTATACGCGACATCAAATCTCCAACGCGAGAGAAATCAGTGCAAGGAGACGTCACTTGTTCACCTTCCTGGAAACGGTGGCACATAGCAAATGGGTATTTCCTAAGATTGTCTACGTCACACTCGTTCACCGTACGACTCTAGGAATTGACTTACAGAATAGGCACCTTCATGTATCTTCTCAAAGAACTCGACTACTATTCAAAGTTCCTATTACGGAAGGCAACTGAGCTTTGAATCAGCAAACATGAATTATTGCTGCTCGTTGTTGTGATGGAGGTATCTCATCATCGTCAACTCTTGGCAGCTCGTGGCTTCAAAGTTTGACCGTCAAGGAACATGAGATATGCACTATCATACTCTTAAAGATACATCAACGACATACATATATGCATAGGAAATGGCCAACGTCATGAGCATGGGCGTGCAAGTAGACCCCACGGATCACTTGGTCAACAACACATGGCGGGGTATCTTTGAGCTGGTCTTTGTTTTCACGTACGTGAGTGAAGCCATGCGGACACTATTGAATTAAGAATACGTTATAATTAATCGATTGCGGTCAACGATCAATTCGAGTCCACCAACGAGTTGTTGAACGACCACGGCAGTCAAACACGAGAGTTCGATTGGCTCATTGCCTTCCGCATAAAACAACGGCGTCACGTAATGGCGGAAAGAGCGACTTGACATCATTTCATTGCAGGACGGCCGCTTTGTCCGTTGTGAGCAATTTGGCATTATTTCATTGGCTAATTACTGACTGCTACAACATATTTTAAGCTCTTAATCAAACTATGAATGAATCACACAAACAAACAAGACATAGAAAATGAATCATTCAACGAATGCATTAAGTTAGTTGTTTTCTTTCCTTGTCCCTCTTCATCTACTCTTCTTTTGTACCACTATTTTCTTTTGCATTTGTTTTGACTTAACCATTCAAGGAGAATCTTATGGGTTCCTTCTATTGTCTTTATATATATACATACACACATTATATTTTGTTTTTTTGAAAGAGGAAAGAAGTATTCATTAATCATAAAAAAAAAAGTAGGAGAGTATAACAGAGGTATAAATGAGAGTTGGAATTGAACTGAATCAATGACTCGACGATTTCGAATTGAATTGTGAGATTGGTGCTAAAAAGAATCAAATTTATTCTCCAAATTTTAATGTTCTCTCACCATTAAAATGCACAACCTAAGTTACATTCTCTATAGGACAAGTTACAAGCACAAATACAAATATAATTTGCTTACATACTACTATCAAAGGAATAGTCTCCTGTTGTTCTTTTCTCAGAAACCAAGAAGAAATAAATGCATGCCTTCCACAGGTTTTGTGTGAACTTTCACATTCTTGTGTTGTTGTTGAGTATGATTAGGATGGTATGCTCCATCCATTTGGAAGCCTTCCGTCGACCAAAAGTTTATACTTCAGATGGCCGCTGAAAGATAAAAGAAACACGAATAGGATAATATTGAAGTCCATAAAATTTGAGCTACTATATATTTTGCTAAAAGAACAAGAAATAGACTGTGGACATAAGACTTACCCTTCGTAAAACTCCGTGGCAAATCGAGATCCATTGTAGCAGATAAACCAAAGCAAAGTAAGCAACAATACATCTGCTAAAGTTAAAGATCCACACTAAGCTCGGAAGCATGCATATCATACTACACTTAATTGGTGAACTGAGCAAAGGAACAAAAGCAAAGTGGTGCCTTCAGCGGTGACATGGAGAAGAGCGATGGACTATGGAGAGATACGAGTAGAGAGTAAAGGATACTGAAGAGGCAGCGCTCCCACCAGTCGAGCATGTAGAGGCCCATGGTTACGTTGTAGAGATGCATCTTTCGGCTGATCCAGTTCATCTTCTTCCTTCGATGCTTGAGAGCAGACCGGGCGACGCTCGACAAGAGATTGGGAATATCTATCTGTATATGCATATATGAAGAGAATCTGAGGTAGTTCATTTCCTGCAAGAAGTCAACTGTCAGAGGTCAGAGAAGGGAGGCTGGAAGACGGAAAGAAGCCGGCAATGGAGTCAACTATGGCGCCGAACAGCAGCGATGCACATATCTGTTTGACCATTTCAAATGATTGGAGCTTGGAACTGTTCTACATGCAGCTGAGTACAGGAAGGAAATCCGTGTGATGCACGGCGTTAAAACGATGACATCTAATTTTCCTGTGGTTAAACATATCTAATTTTAATACGGGTGAGGAACTTAGATTTTAGTAAGACACACAACGATAAAAAAAAAAAGGTAAAAAAAAGATGATGAATTTAAGGAGTAAATATCATGATATGCGTTCTTTCGTGTCTACATCAAATTTTATATCATATGAAAGCTCTAGTAATTAGCACATGAATATTGTATACTACTGAGGAGATTATACAGAGATATAATCGGAGTTGTTAGAGAGTTAGATTGTTTCAGAACTTATAATTCGTTTGAAGGAGTTTGATAAGTCAAAGGATAAGATCAAGTGAACAAACGTTGCTACCAAGCAAAGGAGAATAGAATCGATATGAACTCTACAACATGATAGCAGAGGCAATATATGAGAGTTGCAGTATGTCTTTCTATTGACTAAGGGGAATTGCTCGAAGGACATAGATGTATCGAAGCAGGTGATCATAAAGAGCAAGGAAGAGACGATGAGTTTGAAGAGACTTAGTTACCAAAAACCAAGCGTTGTGGACTTGGTGGAGTGCTACAATGTCATAGAAGTGGTGGATCTATCAATTACGAAAAAAACAATGTAGATTCAAGACGACGGATAATATGACCATGGGCATAACAACATTATGGTACCATAGACACGAAACTTTAGTGGATTCATCGGTTTCTTACTCTTATGGAGGGAGAGCGTATAGTCATGAAAGAGGGTCTAAAAGGTGAAGAATACAGAGATAAACTCAAGTACTGAGACAAGACTGAAGGATAAAGGCTAAGGAACTTCGTAAGACCAGTATTAATGGGCTTCTCATTCAGATAATCGAAAGTGAGGGACTTCGGTTCAATCAATATAAGAGTGCTTGACTAAGAAACAGAGCAGATAGTATATAATATTATACATTTTATACTTAGAGGGGCAGGCAATGAAAATGATAAAGAAGATAGTATAATCCCAAAGACAATTAAAACTTTCAAAAATTTACTCTAAGTCAAGGTGAAATTTTCTCTTTTCAAGCAAAATTTCTTACATTCTAGAAATTTGATAGCAATGAAGAGATGAATTATAGTAGTTGACTCAACGCAAGGAGTGCAAACACTTTAAATATCTCAAAAGTGTAAGCAAAAAATAGGTGAAGGCTAGTAATTAACTTTAATTAACTTAATGCATGAAGTATAACACTTAGTAAGTAAAGCTAAGTAATATTTGTCTTTTCAATCTTTAAGAGAATATACGAAATCGAGTACTCTAATTATATTATTTATCTAGCAGAGGAGCTTTACACATGTTTAAGAAACATTAAAAAAAATTTAGTGAAAGATAATAGTTATCAAATCCTCAGAGGACCAATTCTAACAAGAATAGATTATCCATTTTATTTCTTAACATAATACCAATCGAAAATAAAAATGATGTGAACTTATTTGCTAATGATAACTAAGTAGATAAGGAATTGATAGACAAATTTTATAAAAAAAGAATCTTAAAAATTTGAAAGTGAAACGACTTTCCAATACAACAAGATTCAAACAACATACCAAAGTTAGGCTGACTCCGAAAATTAACACTAACAATAGTTAATATATAAAAGTTAACAAAGATTAAATACAATAATGCACAGACTTAGTTTTCAGGCATTAAAAAAAAGAGTTTTCAGGCATGGAAATAAATATGTAAACAATTGACGTGAATATAATCTACAGTTTTGTTAAAGAAGAAATATGTACATTATACATAAATACTAAACAGTAGAATATTTTTTAATATGGAAATATAATTTAATTTTAATTTTTACAATCATATCGGGTTTCCATCCGAATCCGATAAACCAAAAGTTTCACGCGCGTGCGACTTAACCCATTGACACGTCTTCCGCGGACTCGTCCACCGCCACGGAATCCAACTTTCCGCCCGAAAAATCTCGACCGTCTATAATAAAGATAACAATCGCCCCAAAATAATTGGCGTCCGCACATTATATGTTCATTTGTATCGTTGGGGGATCGACGGAAAACGGAGGCGAAGAGGGACGGAGACGCCGAGCAAGGAAGGGAAAAGGCGAAGATGATCGAGGTGGTGCTGAATGATCGGCTGGGGAAGAAGGTGAGGGTGAAGTGCAACGATGACGACACCATCGGCGACCTCAAGAAGCTGGTGGCGGCGCAGACCGGCACCCGCGCCGACAAGATCCGCATCCAGAAGTGGTACAACGTCTACAAGGATCACATCACCCTCAAGGACTACGAGATCCACGACGGCATGGGCCTCGAACTATACTACAACTAAACCTGAAGGTTCCCCCTTTCTTTCTTCGGTTCCATCTTGCTGTAGTAATTTTAGGGTTGGGGATTCGTTTCAGCTCCGTTTACGTATCAGGTTGTTGATTGTATGATCTGAATTGAAGTACATCAAGGTGATTTTGGATAAATTGTGTCCGATGACTCGATGATGACGAAGTTAGGGTTTCCTTGGACTAAAATTTCGTAGTGCGTAATAGGCTTGACTTTCGAAATTTTAAATCCATCACATGATTTGGTCTTTTTGCATCGACAAAAATTATGCGAGTCTGGGTCACTAGTGTACCTAAATTTTGTTCGTTTGTCTTATGTGTATGTGCTTCAGAGTGTCTCTCCAAGAGTTTCAAATTGTTGTAGCTTGTTATTCACTAGCCAGATATCCTGTTTGTTCTAAAGAGATTTTTCATCAGATAATGATGGGTGCGAAAATAATGAAGAGAAAGTCCATCCATGTTGAATAAGTAATGTCGCTCTACAAGTCGGCAGCTCTGTGATAGTTCATACTTTGGTTGTTTTCTGATCTTTTAGTTCCGTGTTTTTTGTTTAAGACGTTTTTGCTATATAGCTCACCGTTCATGGTTTTCTCAATGTCAATCACTGAGTGGAAGGAATTGAAATTTAATAGGATTGTGTCCCATCTGATTGAGGTCCTCCCTTCGTCATCAACTAGAGAATTGAACTCAACTTTCTACTTCATTGCAGCAGAAGAAAACATCTGGTTAGGCTTATGTATATGGTATAAATGCCCTCTGGTTAGTAGTTACCTTCCAGAATAGCAACCACATTATCTGGCCAAAGCATAAGCTACTAGCCCCTGTTTTGCCTTTCCTAGGTTAGGATGTCAACTTTAGGGTACTGCCAAATATTGTCCCGCTTGGTCATGACGTCGCAGCCCTGGCAATGGCTAGTTGACCACAATTCAACTTCCTAATTCTTGTAGAAATTGAACTAAGTAGTCTTCTTGGCTGTTGTCCTTCTTTGGCTTGATTGGACGTTAGTCCTGCCAATCTGGAATTCCTGATGTTTCAGACATAGGTTAGTTACTTCCATTTATTGCTGTTATTTATTTTATCCTTCTCCTAGACTCTAGTATTCTTCTTCTGACTAGAGATTTCTTCCATAGAACTGTTCAAACTAAGAGCAAGTCAAAGTATGGCTGTAATTATGCATCTTGAGGCCTCAAAAGGAGTTTCAGGGTCCCATGCTGACTGACCCATCCATGAGAAGCCATTAAAATGTCAAGTGGCCCTTATCAACGGCCAACACAGGTCGAACTCTTTGGCGGTGGTCCAGGTCTAGTTGCTTGATAGCATAATCTTTCCTCTATAGTAAAAAATGGCACTAGCTTTTCAGGTGATTAATTTTCTCAGATCTCAAGTCCATATTTGAGTTGGATTTGCACTCTAAGCACAATAAACTCAGGTCGTTTTTGACAATTTTGAGATCTGATTTCTTGGTTTGATGGTCCAAGTTAGGTTAGTCATGATCTTACTTCAAAGCCTGAGGTGTAGATTAGATTGGCTTAGTTTACTTTGAGCATATTATGCGAGTCAAATGCTATTAAAACAACATGAATTTGATTATTTACACTCATGTTATGTTGTAGTCGTTAATTCTATATGCGAAGTACCATAAATAAGATATTATCAATTATATTAAGGTATTTCATATGGCTGGCATTTTTCGGTTGTATAAGTTGAATTTTTGCACCCAATATCTGATGAATCCATATTTGTTCCTACCATGATCTAGATAGATTTGATCTCAATCGAATTTAATTTCTCTATTGGTTTTAAGTGAATTTAAATTTGGTTGCTCTATCTTGGTATCAAGAGAATCAGGCGTCCAGTGCTCTTGAAGCCCACCCATCATAGGGTTTCCCTCTACTGCTCATACTGACCAGAACCTCTCTTTTGTTCCTGCTAGACATCTAGCAAATTTGTCTTTCCCGTAATAGGATGATAACTTGCATGCTACACATTGTTTCAAGACTTGAAATCTGCATACAGATTGGAGGATTGGTTTCAGCATAAAGTAGATTAAGAAATCATTTTATAAATTAATAAAAAAAGAATTAAGAAATTATAACAATAGAATTCAAATATATTCTTCTAGAATTTTAGAATCATAATCTATTTTTTTTGTTAAATATATAAAATTTATTATTTTTACAAATTATAATGTTTCATTTTTGTAAACCATCTCTATCAGATAGTTTTATTTTGCAATTTTTTTATGTTACTTTTTATAAAGATTTATTTTGCATTCCTAGCATTCATCTTCTTATTTATATTATACTTGTCAACCAAGCAAAGGTATGTTTAGTTTCTTATTTAAAGATATGTATTGCATGTCACCATGTAAATGGAGATGAATTCTTGGATGATATTTTTCATGATCATATCCATTGAGAGTTAAAAGTGTAAAAGGAAAGTGATTGTGTTCTCAATTGAAATATTCATCAGAAATTTTTGTTTGTAGTAAAATATGTGGAAGACACTGATAGTTTC